TGTTAGGTATTTAAAATATGCAGAGGGGTAAAAATGTCCAATTTTGACAATCTTGCAACTAATGTAAAAATGTGACATTTTGGTAATTACATGATGGCAAAATGACATTTGGTGTAATTTCCTCTTTTTTTTTTTTTTTTATAATTCAAGAAAATTGCTTTGTTGACCGTTACTTTCCAGAAAGAGGAAATACGGCTGACTCATCTTCCAACGGTCTGAAAAACAATTAAAATTGGTTGAAAATGAACTCCAGACAAATCTTAATTTTTTTTTTATAATAATGAAATTATGTAAAATTTTATAACACGTACTCAAGTATCCTAATTTTTTTTAAAAAGTCGTATTGTCATACCCATATCATATTGTATTCGAATTATGTATCCGTATTCGTAACCATTAGGTCACAATTACTGGGATGGGGAAATTTATAATAACTCAGATATTGCTCACTTTGACATTCGCGCATGGGTAATGGTATCACAAAATTGTTATGATCAAGAAGCACTCACAGGCCTTCTATATTCCATAAGAGGCCTCACTCATTAATCAAGTCAAGAGTGCCTAAAAAATTAGCTGAGGATCTATATAAAAGTTTGAAGAACAAAATTCTAATATAATATAAAGAAGAGTTTAACAAATAATGGAGTGTTTGAATTAGAATACGAGAGAAAAAACTGTCAAAATTTGCAAACCCTTCTCGTAATTCGTCTTGGACTCTTTCAAGACTTCTATAAAACATACTATCAACTCTCAATAAAACTTCAAATGTAATTCGCGTCACACCCAAACTTTAACAGTGACTTAATTTGAGATTGATAATTAAGCCCCCGTTTGATCTACATTATTATCTCATTAAAATGAAAAATATGACCGTTATCCATCACATCAACATTTAAATTCAAATTTTCCATCTCTTGTGTGGATCCCAATAACGGCTATATTTTTCATTCTCATTCTATAATAATTTGACTCAAACAGGGCCTAAGGAAGGTATCAAAATTCTAAAAGAAATGTGGGAAGTTGAAAATATAGGCTAAAGTCAGTTTGGTGAAATCAAATATTAACACGAAAAGGATACACACAGTTAATGGCAAGTAAAAGAAGCAATGCCAAAAAATTCAAAAGTGAATGGCAAGTAATCGTGCAACACGCGATCCTCCCCACTTATAATTTACGAAATAAAGCTGCTATGGTCGAGATTTGACACTTTAAGTCAAGAATATTTTCACATTTTATTAAATTTTGCTAAATTTTTTATCAAAATCTTTGTCAAATAGGATAAAGCTATAGAAGGATTTGATAAAAAACTTGACATAATTATATGGGCAGTAGATGATTGGATGACAAAGTTGACGATATTTTAAACTATCAAATGATAGAATGTCACGTAACATTATATCAAGTTTGATATTCATGTAACATTATTGTGCCAAACAACCCATAAATGTATAGGGTTTTGTCATATATACATCAAGTTTGACACACTGGTGTATAGTCACCCCACAATAAGGAGCTCACGCATTTTTTTATTGGATGTGGACACCCCTTTTGTGAGGGTGTGTATACAAATGTACAGATAGCAAAACTCAAATGTATAACCATATTTCGATATGTCTATGTCAGATAACTACACTTTCATGACTTCCACTCTTCCCTTTCGTCCTTTTCGCTTCATTAATCTACCTAACAACGACTCCATTGGACAAAGACCCCACAATTAATACTCCCCATTAATCTATTGTATCCATAGCCACTTATAAGTGTGATGTAACAAGTCTTGTTATATTAATAATGTGGCTGTTCAACATTGACGGACTTAAAATGGTGAATTTTCCTGGAAACTTAACAAAAAGCTTGTATGGTTGCTTAATAATGGGGAGTTCCTTTGTCAAGTGGGGCTTCACATAATTTCTACAGAGCTCTCACTTGATAAAAAAGTAAAAATATTACACAACCCACCCCTCGTCCCATTTGGAAGTGTTCTGTGGGGGTCCCATAATAATACTTGCGAGCACATGCACAAAGACCCACCCATTTTTTTTTTCTCTCTGCACTCTTCTTCATCCAATGGAACTTGCAGTAGTAGGTTTTATTGCTTTCTTATATGAAGTTGTCTCTAAAGTCTTGCTTGTTTTATTCAGTTAATCCTTTCACATTGTCTAAACTTCTTTTTCCATTGAGATCTCGAAGTTGCCTTAAATCCTTTTTGAAACATTGCCTAAACTCATCTTTCAATTGAGATCGATGGCTTATGCATCTCTACTTTCACTTGCTCAAACACTAGAGCAGATCCTGCATCCTCATGATCAATCACTAAATCTTCATCATACAGAGCAATAGAGCATGAGATCTCTCCATGAAAAGGTTAACTTCTTGGTGGATTTTCTGGATGTTATTTCACCAAAAAGTAGTGAAAATATTAGTGCTTTGGAAGGAAGAATCAGAGATGCAGCGTATGAAGCAGAAGATATGATTGAATCCAATATGTCGAAGAAAATTGTCTGAGTGGGAGCAAAAATACGTTGGTTTGCAGAAGGTAATAGAAGAACTCACTTCCATTTCAGAAGATTTGATGAAGATGAAGGAAAGGAATGACATAGAAATTGTGAAACCAAGTAACACTTTTTGTTCTGCTCGTTCCATTAGTGTTATTGTGGAATTACTCGATCAAAAGAAGAGGATTATAGATATGCTGATTCGTCCGAATTTAGAAGTCTGTATCATCTCAGTTGTTGGTATGGGAGGCCTTAGCAAGACTACCCTAGCAAGACAAATTTATCATGACCCGGATATTGCATCTCACTTCGATATTCTTGCATGGGTAACAGTATCACAAAGATATTATGAACAAGAAGTACTCAGTCGCCTTCTGCATTCCATGAGAGACCTCAATCATGAATTGTTCTACAAATTATAGACTCAAAGAATAGATCGAAAACAGATCTCAAACCCTAATACNCCTCGATCCTGGATCCGTCCCTGTCATGAACAATCTCTAAATCTTCATCATACAGAGCAACAGAGAATGAGATCTCTCCATGAAAAGGTTAACTTCTTGGTGGATTTTCTGGATGTTATTTCACCTAAAAGTAGTGAGAATATTAGTGATTTGGAAGGAAGAATCAGAGATGCAGCGTATGAAGCGGAAGATATGATTGAATCCAATATGTCGAAGAAAATTGTCTCAGAGTGGGAGCAGAAATACGTTGGTTTGCAGAAGGTAATAGAAGAACTCGCTTCCATTTCAGAAGATTTGGTGAAGATGAAGGAAAGGAACGACATAGAAATTGCGAAACCAAGTAACACTTTTCGTTCTGCTCGTCCCACTAGTGTTATTGTGGAATTACATGATCAAAAGATGAGGATTATAGATATGCTGATTGGTCCGAACTCAGAAGTCTGTATCATCTCAGTTGTTGGGATGGGAGGCCTTGGCAAGACTACACTAGCAAGACAAATTTATCATGACCCGGATATTGCCTCTCACTTCGACATTCTTGCATGGGTAACAGTAGCACAAAGATATTATGAACAAGAAGTACTCAGTCGCCTTCTGCATTCCGTGAGAGACCTCAATCATGAATCAAGCCAAGAAAGCGTAGAAAAATTAGCCGAGAATCTATGTAAAAGTTTGAAGGACAAGAGGTACCTCATTGTCCTGGACGATGTGTGGGATGGGGAGATCGTGTTAAAAGTCAAAAGTTTGCTTCCACATGACAGTAATGGAAGCCGGATTTTGTTGACAAGTCGACGAGATCATGTGGCTAGGTATGCTGATCCTGATTGCTACGTTCACCATATGGCACCTCAAAGTGAAGATGGATCCTGGATTCTGCTGCGACATTTGGTGTTTGATAAAGATCCGTATCCTCGTGAATTGGAGAAATTTGGTAGGATGATTGCAAGGAACTGCAGAGGACTTCCACTTGCACTTATCTTGATCGGTGGTGTCCTGTACAAAGCTGAGAGGACACGTGATTACTGGATGTATGTTGCACAACATTTTAAGAATGAATTTTTCGGCAATCTACTGTCCTTTGTATTTTTCAGTTACAACCAATTGCCCCATCATTTGAGAGCATGTTTTCTTTATATGGGTGTTCTACCTGAAGATTATGAGATCCGTACATCCAAACTCATAAAATTATGGGTTGCCAATAGATTTATAAAGCCAGATAGATCGAAAAGCTTGGAAGAGGTGGCAGAGGAGTATCTAAAAGAGCTTATTGATAGAAAGCTGATTACGGTTCATGAGTTGACCTATAGTGGTTATATCAAAACCTGCAGCATCCATGATGAAGTGAGGGACTTCTGCCGGACGAAAACAAAGGAGAAGTTTAATTCGGGTGATGAGTATCTTACAGAAGTCCATGACAATCTTCGACACATTACTATTCTCTCAGATTTGAAGGATCAAATCCCCCCGAATTTGATCTTGCACACAATCGTGATTTACGTATCCGCTCTGTTACATATTTTTTTCGCAATAGCCTGTATGATATACATTTTGCCAAGAGTTTCCGGCTGCTGAGGATATTGGATGCACTCACAATATGGTTTGACGAATTTCCTGTTGAAATAGTAGTAACTGGAGACTTTGAAGTTTATTGCTTTGACGTACTGGGCAAAGCATAGGATTCCTTCGTCAATATCCAAACTTTGCAATCTTGAGACGTTAATTATTAATCCAGGGAAACTCAGATCGATCTTTAATACATCATTCCTACCACTGGAAATCTGGAAGATGTCACAATTGAGGCATATCTCGTTCGTGAGAAGTTTCTTGCCTTATCCTACTGATGCACTAAATGAGGGAACTATTTCGATCTTGGAAAACCTACAAACACTTACCAATGTTATGAACTTCAGATGGACAAAGGAGGTCATTCAAATGATGCCGAACCTAAAGAAATTGGTAATTTCGTACGAGCATGATGGGCGAACTGAGTGGTCATCCTATTGTTTTGACAATTTTGTTCATCTTCTTCAACTTGAAGTTTTGAAATGCTTCTTTTTTGGGAAGTCTTATGTAAAATATCAGGATCCTCTTCCAGTGAACTTTACTTTCCCGCCAAAACTCAAAAGGTTAACTTTGA